AAATTAAAAAATCTGTGCAGACCTACATTTTGTTACAGATCTGTGCAGATTTTTTAATTTTTTTTTCTTTACTAATTATTGCCAGGTTTGAAGTTTTGCGCAGATTTTGGACCTGAAGATCTGTGCAAAACTGTGCCCTCAAAAATTTTCTGATGATATATTAGTTATTCATAAAAATTTAGTTTAGTTTCTTACAAAGAGATTTACTAGAAATTAATAATTTTATATAATCTTAAATATATATAAATATAAGTACTTGAAAACTTAAAAATAAATATACTTGAAAATTCTAATTTAATTATCTTGTAATTATTTATAATCTTTACTTTAATAATTATTATTTATTTATCTTTTCTATTATAATAGATTATATCTGATTAATACTCATATTTCTTGTTTTTAAAAATATTAATAATTAAAGATCTTTAAATAAGTTCATATTTCTTGTCTTTAAAATATTAATAATTAAAGATCTTTAAATAAGTCATATTCTTTTGTTTTATTTAATTAAAAAGATTTGCAAGCTTTATCAAAGTAATAAAAAAATTTTAATTTATTATTTGATATATTCTTTTAATTTTTGTATTAGTTTTTATATTCTTTACTTGAAAAAATAGTCAAGAGATCAAGATCAGAGTTTCTTGATATGTTTTGTATTTTGTATTTTGTAATTACATCTCTTCTTTATTTTTATTATAAATTCAATACAATACTTATAAGTATTAGTACATGAAAATTTTTAGATTAATCTTACTTATTTTTATTATAAATTCAATACAATACTTATAAGTATTAGTACATGAAAATTTTTAGATTAATCTTACTTCACTAATGTTATAAATAATTCAGTCTATACTTCAACTCATTATTATAAGCTATATCTCAGTAAAATCATAATAGCTTGTAATAGAATGTACTTGTATTATAGGTGATCAGAATCCTTCTCAAAATTCTTTGTGTTATAGATGATCAGAAACCTTTACAAAACTTCTTTGTAGTCTAGTTTAGACTTTTCTTTTTGCTTCTGATGATCAGAAACCTCTATTGCGTCCCTATTAAAATAAATTAATTTTTGTAAAAATCGATTTGCATAAAAATCGCCATAGGAAACCTTTAGAACAATAAAGAAATCCTTCAATTATAGCTAATTCAGTCTTGCTTTTTTACTTACCTTGTTGTATTTGTTCTTTAAATCCACTAACTTCTGGAAGTGTGCAACAATATGACCAGTGCTAGTACATAATTGCTATTTAATCAATTTTGTGCATGTACATTTACAGACCCTAGTAGAATTTTGTGGACATCTTTAAATTTTAAATATCAAGCTAAATAAGTAAAATATTAAACAAACATAAAAATTTTGAAAATCATAAGGAAATTATTATGATATAAAAATAAATATGCGATATCTTATATCCAGCGCCCGAAATTACACAAAATTAACACCTTTTGATTCGTCATGACTAGACGAATCGGATGGCAGTATTTTGTGCGATTCTGATCACTGAATATCGAGATATTGCACATAAATTAAATGCATAATAATTTGGCATGTCGCGACTTTTACGTTGGGTATTCTCAAGTGATTACGATCATCACATGATGAGATATCAAAGTCGCGGTACACAAAATTGATTAGCAATTTAAATCGAAATTTTGGCGTAGCGTGGCGATATCTCGATACCCAGTGATCACAAAAAAATATCACCATCTGATTCGTCTCATCATGGCGAATCAAATGGTAGTACATGTACATATACATATAATTTTGTGCCACTGGGTATCGAGATACATGTACATGTATCATTTCTTTTTTTTGTTTGAAAGCTGTGCTTTTCAAGAATTTAAATTTTTTATTTTTTTAATAATTTGCTTGATATTTAAAATTTAAAAGTGTCCACAATATTCTGCTAGGACACTGTATACAATAAAAGAATCTAAATATTATTTTATTGCTATTTAATAAAAATGATAACTGATGACATTTTTAAAAGAGATTTAGTAAAAGAAGTACTTGAAATTTATCAAAAGGGAAATGATGACTTAAAAGATGATCTAGAAATAGAGATTGAAATAAACAGATGGTTTAAAACACACAATGAACCACCATCACAAATCTTTGAGATAATACTTGAACGAAGTAACGACGGAACGAATTACAAAACTCTTCTAGCATTTATGTATGGTTTTGGGATGGGAACAGAAATTGATGAGCGTGAAATGTTTCGATATTATTTGATCGCTGCGGAACAAGGGGATCCAGTTGCCGCGAATCAAACCGGATGGTGTTTTTACGATGGAGTAGGAACACGCAAAGATCCAGAAAATGCTTTTCGTTGGTTTCAACGTTCTGCTAACGGTGGTGACGCAATAGGAATGAATTGGTTGGCACACTGCTATGAGAAAGGTGTTGGTGTAGAGGCTGATGTTAATAAAGCGTTTAATTTCTATCTGACATCAGCATATGGTGGGGAACCCAAGTCACAATACGATGTTGGACGCTGTTATAGAAATGGGTTAGGTGTATCTCAAGATTATAGTAAAGCCGTTTATTGGTATAAAAGAAGCGCAGAAAAAAATTATGTTAGTGGACTAAACTCTCTTGCTTATTGTTATCGATATGGAGTTGGTGTGGAACAAGATGAGAAAGAAGCATTTAAATTATACCAAACTTCAGCAAATATAGGAAACACCTACGCCCAACTCCAACTTTCGACGCTCTACAGATATGGACATGGGGTTGAAAAAGATGAGAAACAAGCGTTTTACTGGTGTAAATCTGCTTTTGATCTTGGAAAAAGTCCAGATGCGGCAAATGAACTTGGATATTTATATGAACAAGGAATCGGTACACGACCTGATAGATATAAATCATTGCTTTGCTATCGAAAATCGGCCGTTGGAAGTGATCATATAAGAAAATTTAATTATGCGAATTCTATTCATGATGGCTTTGGTGGGTCGGTTGATAAACATCAAGCGATATATTGGTATCGTCGGGCATTAGCTTACGGAGATACGGAATATTCAAAGGTGCAATTAAATCGTATCTTTTTGAATAATTTTCACACATAGATAAGGAGCAATGTCTCATTTTCAGCTTTGCGTTGAATGACTGCGCAATATTATCACAATAAATATTAGGAATGTATAATCCGGTGAAAATAGTTGTCCGGACCGGTTTTTGTAACCAAACTGAGTAAACTTAGATCATGGTATGGGATTGATAGTATAAGTGATGCGACTATAGAATAGTGAAAATATGTGAAATTAAAATATTAAAAACGAGCCCGATTCTCACGCTGTTTTTTCAAATTACATGTGGTATCTTAATCACTTGTCTAGTAAAATTTATTGTGCATATACCTTTTATGTTTACATACATATTTAATACAAACATAGATAACTAATATACGTAAAATAACTATGTTTTTACAGAGCATTTAATACACATGTTTATTTCGTTATATCAATAATAATATTTAATGAATAATTACTAAATGTATTTAAAAATTCGAAATGAATTATTTTGATTAATTAAAATCATCTTTTGTATATAATTATTATTTAAAAATAATTATTTTAATATTAATAAAATAAATTATTAAATTATAATTAAATTAAAATTATCAGTTTGAACTTATATTCTATATGAATATATAATAAGATTATAATATCTTTACTAAAAAAAGTTTTATATTAATACTTTTAATAATATAAACTTTTATAAATATAATAATTTATTTTAAATTATAATTTCTTTAAATATAATAATTATTTAACTTATAAATTTAAATGTATTAAAATTTATAAATTTATTTATTTTATATTTAAATTTAATTACTAATTTATTTTTAATTTTTTTAAAATTATTTAATTATATATTTTTTTTAATAAAATTATTTTAATATTTTCTAAAGTAATTAATTAAATAATATTTATGCTATATATATTAATATTATAAATAATTAATTTTATAAATAAATATTACTAATTTTATTAAAATAAATAATTTGTATTTATAATTTCTTTAAGATTATATTATTTATAAAATAATTATTTGAACAAATATTAATTATATTATTATATTAATAATAAAAGAATAAAAAAGAAACTAGAAATTTTAATATTATATTAAATTTAATTATTTTAAAATACTTACTGAATATTATATTTATTTTATAACTAAAATATAAATTAAATAATATTAATTTGTAAATAATTATAATTTTATTATTTAAATTATATTTAAATTAATATTAAAATACAAAATAACAAGATATATTATATATAATTTAAGAATATAAACTAATAAATATTAATTATATATAACTAAATATAAAGAAAGCTTTATTAATTTACTTTTTTAAAATATAAATAATATACTTAATTTATTAATTTATGATAATAATAAATAATAATATAAATAATAATAATGAAAAATATATAAGAAAATAAAAAAATTAATTAAAAAAATATTAATTAAGATAATAATTAAAATATATATATATAGTTAATATGAAAAGTAATAGTAGTCATGTTTTTTTATTGGAATTCATCAATATCTTAACAAGAAATTACTTAAATATTATAAATATTTGGCATTATATTCTTTAAAATAATGAAAATAAAATTTTCTAAAATCACAAAGTATGTAATATAATAATCTTTTGTGGAATTATATATTAAAGATGATAGGCTGGAAAGCTATTTTGGTTAAAAAACTATAAAAAATATTTTTATAAACAAATATAAAAATAATTTATATTTAAAAATATAAAAAAAATATTTGTAATTTAAATAAAATTTTAATTGACATTTATTAAATAAATACTAATTAAAAAAAGATTTAATTTTATAATAAAATATAGTAAAATATAATAAAAATATTATTTCTATTATATTTTATTATGAAATTTATTAAAATTATATCTTTTTTTGACTGATATTTATTCAATAAATATTAATTAAAATTTTTTTTAAATTATATATATATTTTATATCTTTAAATATATTTTTATAAAATTATTTTCATACTTATTTATAAAAAATATTTTTAAATAATTTTTTATAGCATCTTAACCAGGATAATTTCCATCTTATCATTTTTAACACATAATTTCACAAAATATTACTATATTAATATGCTTTGTGATCTTGAAAAATATTATTTTATCAGTTTAAAGAATATAATATCATAATTTTCATAAATTTTTAGCAATTATTTATTAAGTTATAGATGAAAAATATAATTATTATTACTTTTTATATTGATTATAGTAATTATTAATATAATAATATATAATTAATTTAATATATAGTCAGATTTTTCTATAATTATATCTCTTATAGTCATCTTTTTTATAGTTATCTTTTTTAAAGCTTTTTAATTACTAATTAATTATAATTAAAAAAATTTCTTTATAGTTATATATCTTTTTAATCACTCAATTTTGCTTTTTTTAAGTATAATATTTATAGAGAAATCTGAATATATAATTATTTATATATTCAATATAAAATTACTTTTCTAAAAAACTAATAAATATAATATAAAAAGTAAAATAAATATAATTTAATTAAAATTTATTATAATGCTAAAAGTACTTTTATTTCTTTAAATATAATTTAATAGAATTATGAATTAAGATCTAGTAATAAGAGTAAAGAAAAAAAGCTCTTGCTAAAAGAATTATATAGAATAGTAAGAAAAAATTTACAAGAAAATATAAAGATTGAATTATAAAGAATTATATAAGATTATTTGATCAGATAAAAATAAGTTTATAATTTAAAACTCAGATAAAAGAGAATAATACTGAAGAGATTCAAATTTATTTATAATGTCATAATATATTAAATAATAATAAAATGTAACAAGAATTTTATTATAATATAAAGTTGTTTTAGCAGATTTAATATTGAATTTTATTATAAAATTGAAGATTGAATAAATATTAAGCTGTATTAAAAGATTTTAACTAATAAATTAATAAAATTTATTATATATATGATTTGAACTTAAAGAATATCATCTTGCAACTGAAATCAAGAAATAGTTAAATGAGAAGATATCAAGATTTTAGACCGGTCTGCATATTTATCTGACTTGAATCTCATAGAGTATTTATAAAATAAAATGAACTATTGAATATGCAAACTTTCCAGAAATATTTCAAGTAAGGATGAACTTTGAAACAAAAATCAATAAGTAAGAAATGAAATCAATATTGAGTTTTGTTTGAAGCTAATTAACATTATGTCACAGTAAATTGCAGATATGCTTAAGACCAGTGGTGATTATACATGATGGCAATATTTTGTAAAAAGTTTCAAGTGTTTTTAGATAGGAAATTTAAAAATAAAGTTCATTCTAATATTGTACCAAAATTATTGCACATTATTTTTGGATTTTTTTAAAAAATATATTATAAAATTGCAATAAATTTATGTTATATGATGCTCGAAAATTAGGCATTAAAAACGAACCCAAATACATCTATCTATCATTTTTAGTTAGTTAAAAATTATTGTTTAAAAATTTTGTCACGAGTTGTGCAATATTTATTGAAGTCACTGTATAGTGTACTTATCAAATCGAAGGCTTGCTTTTTTGCAATAAAAAAATTGATGCGTATTCTTTGATTATTATTGTGATTTTGTAATTTATCTTTATTATTTAGGATTTAAGTTATTTTTGTTATTAAAAATTATAGTAAACTTTTATTCTTTTTGAAATTATATTATATTTTACTTTTACCTATTGATTGGACAATCTCCGTGAAAGACTGATATAGGAGACTTTTAGAACCTTAGTGATACTCCATTTTGCGTAAATCTTCCAGACCTTTGTTACATCTTCAATTCTTTAATCAACCTATGTAACTTTTGACTTGATGTTAATATCGATGTTACATGATTTAGGTGTAGAGTTCACGAAATTGGCTTTAATATCGAATTTATGGTCGGGATGTTGAGAGTCAGGGATTTTGAATTCGGAATTTTAGTGTCTCGTAATTTTGGATGCCAAAATTTAGGATGTCGGAATGTTGGACCAGACCGTTTTAAGAGATGATTAACGTTAAATATTAAACAACCTATACATGGCTTTATGAGATAAAATGCGCTCTACAATAGCATCAACAATTTGCAAATTGGTTCATCCCCACACGTAAGAGTTTCAAAAAAGCATCACAAAGATATATTCAAGTTTAGGTATTAAATATCACCCCTTTTTCTTAACACCTGGACATTATGCTCACGACATATCAGAATTTGTTCTTGTACACAATTGCAAAGCTTAAAAATACAATTAAGATTTGGATACTTTTTTGAGCCCAGGACTTTTTGAAGGAAGTGTTATTTTAATGATGTACAATTCAAAGTAAAAAAAGCCTTTGAACTTCATTAAAAATTGAGTGCAATAGAAACGGTGTAAATTCTATTAGAATTTCTAATAGAATTTACACCGTTTCTATTGCACTCAGCCAAATGTAACTTGGAGGATCTAAAGTTGAGAGTCGCACATGTGGTATTGCATTGCAAATACCATTTATTTCAACGTTGCATGAATTATGTTACTACATGTACATGAAAGTGAACACTCATCTTTTGAGGATTATATGCTGCATTCAAAAACTTTAATTTCAAGACAAATTTCATGGAATTCATTCATCAACCTGTCAAATTTACAGCTTACTTGTTTTTGTTAAGCATCGAATAGCACCTCATAAACAGCGGGATCTGAAAAAGAGTATTGATACCCAACACTATAAATTAATTTACGAATGTATTTATCAAACAAAACGTCGATGATTATTTTTGGTTTAAATAATGGTTTCATATTTTATATCGATATTTTGTATAAAGGAATGTTCTTTCACGTATTTAGATATAATGTATCTCATGATAACAACCCCAGTCATTGATTTTTTATAGTCGTATCGGAATTCTGCTCAAATTATGCTATGATGAGGAGAAATTAGTTTATTAAGTTTCATTAATATCATATCAGTGAGAATTTAAATCAAGAACCTCCACCCTCAATCAACAAAATAGTAATATATCACGCAGAAAAAAAATATTTATTTATTATAGTTCACTTCCTAACCCACATATGAATAAAAGGAATAAAAGAAATAAAAACATTAATACTAGTTATTGTTCTAACTACAGCAATAAATAAAGAGAATTCGATCTGGGTAAATTAACGTTAACTAGGCTATGAAATCATTTAGTAACAACTACACCATTCCAGAACGCGACATAGTCTTTGATATGTGAAGCAACTGGTTTCGGTGATGGGTAATACCTACATTTAAATAAGTGATATTTATTAGTTTATTATCGGAATTATTATTGAAATATAACGGGAGTTGACTGCGTACCATCCAGCATTTTTATTCGTTTTACCTAAGTTATAAATACAACACGTAAAATGAGTTATCATGAATAAAATGCGAAAAAGCATGATAATCAAAAAATACGCTCACCATTAACAGAGACTGTGTAATACGATGCTTGACCTTTAAACGGGCACGTCGTTTGATGTGAACTGTCGACGAAAAATTCTCTTTTCAGGCTTGTTGGTGGGAACTTTTATATTTTGAATAGAAATAGAATTAATAATTCAGTACATATTAATTATGATGAGAAGTCGTAATTGTACAGATTCCTTACGTAAATGTTTCCTTCGACCGTTTCATAAGTATCTGATTCGGCAATGACTATGTAACAATAATATTATTGAGGGTTAATATTTTTAGAATTAAGAGAAATAGTCATAAATTTTAAATATTAACCTTCTCCGTTCCACTCTGCTTTAACCATTTTTCTTTCTTTGAGCTTGTATTAGAAAATAATGCTATTTTATGAGAGATTTTTCGTGTGTTTATTCAAGAAACTAAGTTTTTGTAATTTTATAAATGGGTCTTGGCTACTTCAACTCGTTTATATAATGTTTTGCTAATAAGTACGAGAATGATTTGTGGGTGATAGTGATAGACAACAATAATCATCACAAAAGGAAAAAAAACGGATTCACAATGAGGAATACATTTGTATTATTAATCAAAAAACTTGCTTTTTATTCTAAAAGCAATTCATTCTGGTATACATAATTTCCTTGTTTGGCAAAAATTTTTGCAGACGCATAAGATCTGCAAATGACGTTCAGCAAATAGGTACATTTATCTATGATGATAACGAAATGGGTATTTTATTTTGGAGTTGAAACTTGTATCGAAAACAGAAGTACATTTTAAATATATCAACGTGCATTGCATGAAGTTAGAGCGCTTCGTTTTAGAACGTGTACATGACAGATTTTCTTTTGAACCTTCCATGAACATATGATTTTGATCAAAAATCATTACCGTTACAGTACCCACAGAAAGTATCGCATTAAAAATAAAAATTTAGATCATTTTTCATTTACGTCAATTTATACACCAAATAAAAAATAAAATTTATTTAATATTTAATGGCCCTCCATTTGACTCCAATACTGCATTAATTCTTCGTGGCATTGATGCAGTAACCCGTTTTAAAATGGTCACATCAAGTTTTTCTCATTCCATCTTCAGTGCAATCTTAAGTTTGTCCACAGTCGTCGGAAAGTTCTCATTTTTTTGAATGTAGTCCTTTAATATCTTTCAAATGTTCTCTATTGGATTCAGGTCTGGGGAACTCGCCGGCCAATTAATAATCACGATTTTATTTTCCCTTGATTTTTCCTGCAGTATGTATCGGCGCATTGTCATGTTGAAAGATTGCGTAACCAGTTAATTCCCTAATTGCGCTCTGGAATAGAAGTAATTGAGTTTTTAAGATTTCGAGGTAAAATTATAAAATAATTAGCTTTATAATTTATATTGAATTTACATATACTTAATTAAATCTATTAATTATAATTTGATGTTCTCAAGTTTGTATAAAGATATCATGATTTAATAATTTTCAATTTTGCATTGCATTACTTTTAATTATCATTATAAATAAAGTATTAAATATATTAATTTTATAAAATAAAAGATTTATTAATAATATTTTTTTGAAATAATTTTTATTTTCAATAACTTATATAATAAATAAATAAATTATTAAACATATTAATTTATAAAATTAAAAAATTAATTAATATTAAACTTAATTACAGTGGCAATCAAAAATAATGCAACGCTTAAATTTTTTACTAATTATAATTAGTAAAATACATATTTTTTCTTACATA